TGAGGCTGTTACAAATTCAGTCTCAGTTACTGGAAACAAGTCGAAAATGGTTGCAGCCCAAATGGCTAGAACCCAGGGCGATTCCTGAATAAAAAATAGTGGAAAAAATGTCATCCTTAAAACAAATCCAGACAAGCCGTTTCAGGAGGAAAAGCATGTTTGAATTAATGTGAGTGCTCTGTTCAAACAAGACTGCACCCTTGTTTAAATCTCTCATTTCTGTTTACAAGAGAACAAGGTGGCAGATGAAGGTTTGCTACTTGACATTCCAGAATATTTTTTTCCTTAGCAATTGTTTCAGTGTATCCTTGTTAAACAAAGAATGAACACGCTCAAACAGAAGTGGAATAATTTACTTTCTACTGTATTTGATAGGCATGCATGAATAATGCTTTTAACTCTGACACTGAAAATAAAAGGCTAAAGAAACTAAGATACGTTAAGATAAGAAAATCAAATGAAAACACTACAAGATGGTTTCCAAACGGAAGCCTCTAACTCTGTCGGCTTTCAAAACTACAGCCTGTGACCACAAAAAAAGAGTCTTATATGCTGTGATAAAATCAACCTCAGGAGGAAATAAAAAAAAATCTATGCAGCTGGGCATGAACCATCAATTGGGATGTGCAAGCACTGAACCATACTGCTGTGACTGAACAACCGGCAAACAATATCAAATCTAAGATAAAATTATGAAGTGTATGCTTTTAGAAGGCCAAGGCCTAAGTTGTAAAAGCTATTCAAGTACTTAAAAGAGGTATCACGATTTTCAAAAGTGTCCATAAGCCCAACTTTGTTTGGGGAAAAAACAGGCCATGTGGAACACCACTGGGAAACCAGTAGGTAAGGAAAGTCCTAATGTGTGCCATCCAATGTCTTAGTCCTTGGAGAGTCAGGACTTAAATTGTCCAAAATAGGGAAGTTTGCTCCAGGACACTTATATTTAAGCCCCTGCAAATGATCCTTTTAATAATGTTCCAAGGCAGTCCATATTAAAATTTTTTCAAATGCTATTGCAGCAAGAGCCCCAAATAATCCAATTTTGTCATTATATTATGTTATGGCTTTGTCTTCACAGAATACACTAACCAAGTCAAATCAGGTCTTCAAAGCAGAGCCAACTTTAAAATTTGGTCACATTCCTCAAGGCCCTGTCCAGCTGAGTTCTGCATGTCTCCAGGGACAGACATTCCACAGCCTCTTGGGCAACCTGTTCCAGTGCACTACTCTCCCAGTGAAGAACTTTCCCTTTATATCTAATTGTAATTTCTCTTGCAACTTGTGACTGTTGCCTTTCAGCCTTCTAGCGCGTACTTCTGAGAAGGGTATGTTTTCTCCAACCCCTTTACTACAAAGGTGAGCTGCTGACTCAGGTCCAGCTTGTTTTCCATCAGGACCATCAGGTATTTTTCTGGAGAGCTGTTCCCCCCATCCTGTGCTGATGAATGGAATTATTCTGCCATAGCTGTAGGACTCTGGATTTACCTTCGCTGAACTTAATGAAGTCTCTGTCAACCTATTTCTCTAGCCTGGCCAGGTGGTCCTGAATGGAGGCTCGACTCACCTGAGCATCGACTGCTGTTCCCTCAACGTTGTGTCATCTGCAGATGCAGTGAGGGTGTAAGCCCTCTTCTACACCTAGACTGAACAATCCAGCCCTGTGCTACTGCTTTGCTGTTCTGCAACATTATCTGAATTAACATATTCTTCACCATATCCTGTTAGAATAGCTCATAGGAAGGCTGCTCCATTCATCTAATGTTAGAATAAACAGCATTACATTACAACAGCATTCTAAAAAAATTGCCGGGCCAAATCCTTATCGAGCATAAATTCCTTGCATTTCTAATCAGCTTATACTAAATGAAGATCCAGGCTATTTACTCAAAAGCTAGAGTGCCAGTAATGTTTTTAAAAATCAGCAGGTCATTTATTACAGCTAGTTTACAATGCTGCAAGTATTAGTTCACTGCTGGCATAAACATCTCCTGGAGGAACACTAGAAACTGGCTACTTCTGCCTCACTGCTGCGTTAGAACAAGCAAACAAAAACATGCCAAGTGTTTCTATGCTTAGATATATATGCTTTTGAAGAAGGAATTCTTATTATTTGAATGCATTTATTACCAGTTGAGCCTTCCTAATCTCTAGATACCTCCTAGGCTTAGAAAAATATGCTTTTGTACAAGAAAATATTTTTTTTGTCATCATTAAAATACATTTCTAAGAAATTTAAGCTAAGAAATACTCAAAAAGGGAGGAAAGTTATGACAACACTACCAGCCATTAAAACTCCACCTTCCTGCAGTCCTTGACCATTAACTGATCGTGACCATCAGCAGCCTCCCTTAACTTGACCCAAGAAGCTAATACCAATTACTTGAGTTCACTTTTTATGACAGGATCACTCAATATAGGAGACTTCCCTTGGAAAAGAGAATCAGAGAAAAACAATCATGCCTTTTTCATGACATCTATGCTGGATCATTCACAACAAACTCTGTTTCAAAAACAGGAGCCTGCTTCCAGTCAACTTGCAAGAGGGCTCTTAAATAAACCTAGCTCATGTAGATTTAGACACCTTATTGCTCCTAGGCAGATCTGGAAATCAGAAACATCATGTGTGAGATATTCTAATCTTACTGGACATGGTAAGACCACTTTCAGGTTTGAAAGTTGATATAAATCACAACAGGGCTCTTTTCACTGCCCTGTTCACAGCTCTCACACCCAGGAGCTTGTTCTGATTTTCATCAGTGAGCAAAGTTCCAGTCCATAAAACTATCAGAATAAAATAAGAATAGTAAACCATGGATTTTTTCTTACAAGATTTTCCTAGATAAATTACTCTTGGATAACACATGGGCTTAGCAGTGCTATCACCTTCACCATTTTTGTAGGCACAATCAAGGCTTTTCACAAGTGACATGGGCTGTGTGGGATGAGAACAGATCATCCAGTAACCATTTCTGCTTGGAAAAAGCACTTGATCTGTGAGCATCAAATCATACCCTCTAGTGAATGTGAAATGGAGCTCAAGAAAAGGTGAAATCTAACCTTAGTACTTGCTTCCAGTATTCCTAGTGTTGTCCGTCCCCAAAAGCATGAAGATACCAAGATCTGCTAAGTGATTCCTCAGCTATGAGAGGGGTGTGTGTGTGTCTGTCCCTGTACAAACCTATAAACCCAAGTAGTCTTGGGTTCCCTGAGTCCTGGGTCTTGCCCAAACCTGAAATCTGCTGAATGCACAAGTCAGCAATTCAGTTACAATCTTCTTTTGCAACAAAAGGTAATAATGATAAAGTGCTTTCCTAGGCAAAGCTACTTATTTCCAGTAATTCTGTAATGCAGAAGGAAGGGACAGGGAGTGCCTGTCACTCAGCTCTGCATATGGTTTGAATGTGTAGATGAGCTGCTGCCTGTTTTTTCCAGTAGTTATAATCCTATTGAAACGCTGTTAATTCAATTGTTTTAAAAACTACCAATCCCTAATAAATATAAGATGGTCTACAAAGGAGTCCTTCCTTCAGACACACATGTGGAACATAGCGCAGCAATCAGCAGGATCAGCCTGGTCCCCTTATCGCTTTTCTGGTGCAGGTTTGAAGCAGATCTTGTTTATTGTTCTTTTTTTTTGCAAAACTCTATGAGATCTTTGAAGTGGTCGGCACAGGGCTGCACCCAGGGCGAGGCAGACTGAGCAAGTCCAATGTTAAACAAACAGCGATCCCAGCTGAGGACAGTGTGTGGGTTATGGAGAACGGCAGCCAGCACGGGCACAATCCATCCAAAGCCAACTATATGTTGCCTTCAGAAAGCAACCTGGAGCTTCATTTGCTGTTCAGACCAGTCTGATGTGTTTAAACAAAGACTCTATTCTTTAATATAGACACATATATACACACATATAAATATACACACATAAATGAATCCTTATAGGATGTGTTCAGATGACTATCCCTCCAAATCCCTGCTCCTTTTTTCTGGACTTACTATGCATTCTATTATTGCTATGATGCCGTGCTATACTGCAGGCTTAAAACAGCACACGTTTGAGGCTTTTTTTCCCTTTAACAATCAAATCAATACCACTTGCTGGGTAATCAAGCAACAAGCACACTTAAGTATTTAAGAACATAACACCATTTCCAAAATATACTACATGTATAAGAATTTGGTAAATGAATTTTTCTTTAAAAAATTATCTTTAATTAGGAACTTTCTGCTTCTTCATATTATATCTCTCTTTATCCTGAGATTAAAGTTTATTTCTTCATTTCTTGTCACATTATCAATAAATGCAATAAATTTATTTAAATATAAGTCTTGCTAAAAGTCCAGTGTTGCTATCACATAACTCTTCCTGAACTATCTCTTCTTCTTAATAGTAATTCACACAAAGATATGTTAGGTGAGTCTTTATCCAGTCCTAGCATTATTTAGTAAAAACATCAACTTTGTGGATTTTGCCTGAACATTAACTTCAGGATTTGGCCTTTGGAAAATAAGCTTTCCTTTACGACAAATTGTACCTGCATTTCTCCAGCTTATACTTTGAGACATGGATGCTACAGTAAATCTGTGATCACAGATTAAACAGCCAAAAGACAGGCTGAATAAGACAACAGACCAGAAGTATAGGTCCATGTATTTGCAGAATAAATGGAGCTTCATTATAATACTCAGCTTATTTTAGGAGGGTGTTTTTAAGAGGAATTAACAAGTTTCCACCCGCCCTGTTCCACTTCCAATATCCTGTGTAATCATCCAAAACTAATGGATAGTAATTGGTGTCTTTGTAAAATACCATTTGGGCAGATGCCAGGTTTTTGGCTATTCTTTCTTGAGTTAAAATGTCTACACAGTGTTTTGAAATAAAGTACAATTTATAATGTTATTTATTTCTTCTTTCCTTGCTGTTACTCGGTTATAAGAATATCTAAGACTGTAAACCAATAGGACAAAGACTTGCAAAGCCATCAAACAAGTAACATTCCTACCTCCAGCCTGGTTCTGTCCACGTCCTTAGGCAATTTCACACGAACTCGGTTTGTTACAATAAGTGTTTCATAAGGATAAATCTGTTGAAAAGACAAGAGCATATGAACTCCAGCCAAAGCTGATTCTGATGTGTGAAAACAACAACGTGGGGAACTTACTAATTTAAATAGTACATACTTCCATCCCGATTTCACAAATATTTCACTGGGACAAAAATCAACAAAATAAAACAAAACAAAAAAAAAAGAACACATGTAACCTTGCTAGGAAGTGCTGAATCTGATTGTTCTTCCAGTGTTGGAAAAGCCCTTCTTACCTTGTATTCTGCAAGAGAATGAGAACAGGTTCACAGTTTAGAATTTATAGGTTTCTTCTGGAGTCACTACATTTAACATCTAGGTACATTAGCAGTTTGTTATGCCATTATATTTCTCATTTTGCAATAGCTGTTGGATAACTGCATGCATAATAAGCATTTGATCCCCATGCTCTGAATGCCTCTAACATTGCCTATTACTGAAGCAACAGTCCTTGAAAACAAAGGCTTATAACAGAAAATCCATCTCCTGATGCCATTGGGTTACAGAGTGTGCACATCTGGTAAAATTAAGACATTCTCTTTACAAAAGTTTTTTGTGCAAAGTCAGTCTGTCATCCAAAAATTACTTTACTGAAAATAGCTAAAATATATGGATTATTGCAGGCATGTCAGTTTGGGAACATATATGAAAACTATTGAGTTAATAAAACATTCCAAGATGCCAACATTCTGCACTTGGGCTGACTGCAGTGGGAATAACAATAGTGAAGAAAAGATGATTTGGGGGTGTGACTCTTGGATCTAAACTAGCACAAGAATATTCTAGTCAGGTCAGTATATGTCTATGTATAATGTGACTACTAGAAGATTATCTATTCACAGTGATGATTAAATGCAACCACGACAGCCAGTACATTTTCATAGACCTTTTTACAGTCTGAAATGAAATCAGAGATAAGTCTACTTTTCAATATCTGTACTTCAAACTATTTCAACATAGAGACAAAGACTTGTACCAACACACAGGCATGACTTGAAGCATTAGAGTAAGACTTTTAAACCAAGATTAAGTGTCTTGGGAACAAAATCCTACTCTTCCCCAAAAACAGACGCATGTTCCTAAATTGCTCAGCTCTTTTGAAAATTCCAACCCAAGTTCCATATTAAGTTCACAGTCCACTTAAACTGTAATGAAAAAAAAATAATGCAAATAAATTCTGCTTTATGAATTCTGTAGTTTTTAACCACACAGTAGCACAAACAAGATGCACAATGGACATTTTGTTTTTAAATTAGATATGCCTTGAAGGAGCAATTATCTTAAACTTCTTCCTTTCTTTGACATGAGATCACCACCAGAGGCTGGTGCTACATATTGAGGGTACTGGGATTGACTCAGCCTGGTTGCACCACTTTAAGATGCAGGACTTCAGTCAGGCCTTTGTGTTCGATTAGATAAAAAGAAGATTCTCTGTGATAAACATGACACTGAGGTGGGTCTCCGTCTAGTCATTATTGCATGAACTATGGAAAGATCTCAGAATAGTAAGCTTTATGGCAATATGTTAATGGTTATCCTCAAAGGAAGAAAACGTGAAGTAGAGTCGAAATCATTTGCAATGTACCTTTCATCCCCCAGCTCGTCTCCTGGTCCGTTTCGTATTGGCCCATATTTTCAGGCTGTAAGAGCAAGAAAGATGCAACGTAGCAGCAAAATACATCACAAACCCACTCTGCTTATTGTCAACACTAAAAAAAAAAAAGCAGCTGGTAACACACAATCGAAATACAGATCCTTGCAAGAGAGGAAGATAATAAATTCTCATCCAAACTTGACCTGCTCAAAGCAGGCATCTCGAGCGCTCTCAGCACTCACTGATCTAAGATTGCAGAGACGGAGCTCTGCCTGTAGAAGAGGATGGAGCATCAGGGGAGCACCTGAGTCCCCAGAGGCACTGCAGGTGCAGTTTGCTGCCTATGCTGTGAACTCCCACGGAGCCACGAAAACTGGAGCTTGTACGTCACTCAGAGAGGAAACTGCAGCATTGTATCACAGAATCACACAGAGTCACAGAACGTTAGGGGTTGGAAGGGACCTCGAAAGATCATCTAGTTCAACTTCCCTGCCAAAGCAACCCAGCTCACCCCTAAGCCTTTTGGACATTTTTGAAGCTCTGATTCCTTGCAGCTTTTGATGAGCCAGAAAGGTGTCAGAAAGCCATTAGCCACCCCTATTTGAAGCCCTGGCAGTAAGGTAAGACTGCAGTTGCCATATGCTCTTCCCTGTGATGCAGATGTCCTACTGCCATCGTCACAAATCACTTGTGCTGCACTGCAGCTTGCGTCATTCTGCTTTCTGCTTCACACTGCTGATGCCACTAAGACCAGTGAGAACTGTGCACGTGTGCCATAGCTTTGTTTGGCCCACTGTCTTTTTCCTTTGCTATGATGAAAAACAGTACAGGAGACCATAAAAGAATAATCATATGACTGTTTTTCCTCGAGTCTCATTTTTGTTTGTGCAAACAATGTGCCCAGCTATGCTCGCAATAACCTGCAAGTCTCTTTATTGTTTGGTTTTGGTTTATTTTTTTCATGCAGCACTGGGCTGGCTGATTACAAATAACAAACCACAGAAGCTGGCACGAACCTGCATTCCGAAAAGCGGACATCCATCCTAAGAAGAATTTTGTCCTCAAGGATTTGAAAAGGAGTAATGTTTTCAACTTTCCTATGGCTTTTGGCTGTGAATTTGGAGCCTTCAGCTGGGACAAGCACTGCCACTTTGCATGGCCTCAGCCTACTGTGCCCCTCTCCACCACTCATTGCTTTGGCTTCATCTGAGCGAAGCATTTGGATGGCTTTAGAGCCTCACCAGCACAGTGGCGAGGTGTGAGTTGGTCCCTCACTCACTTCAGGGTACTGGCAACAACTATTCTGAAAAGTCAGAAAAAAGTTGTTGACTCCTAGGTGAGGGTGGGTTTACCTAGACCCTTTCAAATCTCATTTGCTCAAGTTGCCGTGCCACTGGTTCCTTCAGAGAGGAGTTCAAGCAGTCGGGTATTGAAGCAACGCAGACACAGTTAGTCTTGTAATACTAACTCAAAGAGATGGATTTTTCAGTAGTTACTGAAAAATTCATTTAGCTACTGTCTGACAGCTGCTTTCTTGCAGGTCCTTCCAATAATCTGCAGTTTGACTCTTACCACTATGGAACTTTAATACCGCTCTTGTACTTTTGTACCTTTCACACCTTCCTTTGGAGGAAAAAAGGCAATTTGAATGAGGTCTTGTCTGTGTAATTTACATATAAACAGATCTTCAAAATATAAGTGCATGTGCATCTATGTACTGCCAACTTATCACCATTAATCATAATGGGTTTGTACCTAAAAATATAAGTCATAAACTGAGAATCCATAATGCTAGACACCAGAGAGAGAGATCAATATCAGATATCTTTTTCACAAAGACTTAAAAATAAAATATAAAAAAGGATTAGAAAAAGAAGACCTAGTCTGATCTGACCATAATGTTGTTAGGCATTTTGCTTTCTAGATTGTTGCCTGCCATTCTCTCTGTATTGCTCCCTCCCCACCTTAAAAGTACAATGACTGTGTGTGCATATATGTGTAAATATATGTATACATGTACATATGCATATACATGTGCATATGTACACGTGTGTATATATATATGTATATAGTATAGTGGAAAAAAAAATACATGGTTAAAGAAATGCAGTGGATGTGGGCTGCTCCACCTTTGCTCTATGACCATTACTTGCCTAATTATAGCCCTAACCCTTTCTTACCATTAATTCAAGCTATACTGTCATCTATTAATATCTGCAGCCTGTACGTTTTGGACCTTCATTTGTTTTGGGAGGAGAATCAAGATGCCTAATGCTCACAGTGCACACAATTAAAAGGAGAAGCCTCAGTCTGTCTCACTCTTGCAGACAAACTGTAAGCCACACAGGGTATAAATCTGTCAGACTGGGCTGGCAGTCAAAACACCTTTGAAGTGCTATTACTGTGTAGTTTTTCTACTAGTTACTAAGCTGCCTTAACATATACATTTATATATACACCTACCTGATGTAAGCCATTCTTTCCATAGCCAGGTAAAGAAGCAGATTTAGAATATGGAAATCCTGTAAAAGACATAACATAGAGCTATATTTTTTGTAAATCCTTTACAGCCTACTAAAATACAGAATACAAGAAAATACCCAGAAACAGCAATTATAAGATAATATGTACATTCTATTAATGGGATGAAATATAACTGAGCAATGTTCATCTTTTCTCCGTATTTAACATAAATTTATACGTGTAACAATGTCTATAAATAACAGCATGCCAGGATGCACTCGCCTTACCAGGCATGACATGAAGAGAGTTGTGGGACCCATGTTACAGGAGCCTTATGAAGCTACGTGACGCAAAGCAGATTTGAGAGCTTGTGAAATCCCTTCCCTCCAACTTGGTGTTAAACCATGACTTGAAAATATTTCAGATTAAAGGTACCATGATTTTAGAATTACATCACTTATGATCATAATGTGTGTAGAGTGGTTTTGGGTTTTGTTTTTATAAAAGAAGGGATAGTATGTTGCCACTTAAAAACCCCCACAAACACTTATTTGCTTTCTTTAAAACTTTTACTGCTTCACGTGGAAGAAAACATAAATGAAGATATTGCAATGGATAAAGTAAATCTGTGAGAGTATAAACACTTAAGAAAGTTTTAAAATAGAAAAAATTGGCAAAGTGGTGTTACCATGAACAAACTAGATGTAACATGAAGATGAAACTCTGCGGTCACTATGAAACAACTGAAGAGCCTTACTTTTAATACTGAGACTCTAATAAAGTTTTGAAGCTCCTTTAGTCAGTGAAAGGACAAGAAGTGTTTCAGAGTAGTTTTCAGTTAATAAAAATAATGCTATGCAGAAATGACAGGCTGGATCAGTTTAAATGAAACAGAAGATGAACAAATAGTGGAATAAACATTTTTGATTCCAGTACAGGAAACTTTGATAAATTGATACAAAGAGCTACAGAAGTCATTTAGCTGAAGGAACTGAATGTACAACACTTCTTTCTGTCAAAAATGTTAACAATCTGCGTCCAAAGGGGAATGCAGGAAAGAAATCCAGACCCCACTGGATTAATAAATACCCTAAGGAGATTATTAGGAATAAGCCTACAGAAAGAAAAAACAAAAGATGGGTAAGCAAAGAGCTCATGATGTGCTGAGATAAAGTGAAAACTGCCAGAAGTCAAGCTGAGTTAAGCACTGAAAATGATATTAAAACAAATAGCAAAAGGTTCTCCAGCTATCTAAATAAAAAGAGAACAAGGAAAGAAGAAATGGGATCACTGGGAGTTACGCTACATCAGTAGACAGCAGAGGTGAAAGGTAGCCTAGGCAGGGCTCCAAAACTGAAGGAGTATTTCATCCCTGTCTTTAGGAACACAAGGTAGAGTTCTAAGCAAGGAGAGAAATCTGATGGAATAAGGGTATGCAGTCATGAGGGAAACATAATTCATAGCATGGAATGCACTTAAACAGGGAGTGATAAGCTCACATCGAATTGCAAGTACAACACCTCTTACCACTGGAGAACAGCAACTATGTTTTTTATAGTTAAGAGGAGAAAAAATATAATAAGGAGCTACCGGTTTGCTTCCAGCAGAAAACTTAAGGAAAGACTGAACAAACACATCAAAGGAAACAGAAAATCAATTTATATTCACATACATTTTAACTAGCTTGATGTAAGTTAAGGACACAGTGCCAGACTTGTTTGGTAGCTTTCTTTGTTATGAGAAATGACTTCTGCACAATATGAATTTTATTGGATCTCATCTAACGTGGCATCATTAAAGCATTTGGTATTTGGCAGCACAGGGAGTTAAATGCAAATGTGGCAAGATGTACTTTATCAGAGGAATTATAAGATCAGTAAGGAAATAATGTAAGAAATGGGTAGTGAGAACTGAGCAGAGCTGATAAAAAATGTGCCAGCATGGACTGGTGTCCAGGTGAAATTGCCTCCTATTTTCACTAATGATCTGGACACCAAAAATAGTGATGGGCGAATAAACTTTGTTTGTCTACAAAAACTTAGGCACCACTGCCAATATACAGGAGGATTGGGCTACCACAAAAAACTGGGATAACCTTGAATGTTCTAGACAGGATAAAATTTAATAATCCATGGGAAATGTCATGCCCTTGGGGACTAATAAATACCACAAACTTCTACTATTTAAGCAGAGAGCTCATAAGTTGGAAATGGTCGGGAAGGAGGCAGGCTTAGATATACAGCTCAATCACCAGATGACCTTGACTTGTTAATATAAAGTTAGAAATGTCTGTCATACATGCAAGATACGGAAATAATTGTATTTTCAGGCAGCAACAGAAGAACCTGGAGGAATCCTCTGTGATATTCTTGTTCATCAATGTTCAAGTGAGTTATATTAACTCCACCAGACCAATGGTCTAGAGGATAACTAGGGCAATGAAAGCTAATTGCAGGAAAGAAGGCTTGAGAAACTTAACTCATTTAAGCTAGTAAAATGAACATGATCTATAAAAGCAAGAGATGATTTAGAAACGTAATCAACCACCATCCGAAGCATGGTACAAACTACGAGCAGAAATTGTACTTTCAGCCCCGCAGGGGGTTTCCACATCTGATACAGGGACATAGTGATGAATATTGATGGATCATTTAGCTGTTCCAGTTTGGAAACTAGAAACTTACCATTGCCTCTTATCTGAATGCTAGTGAAACCAGAGCACAAAGAGTACGTGTGAGACAGAATGAATGTATCTGCAAGAAAACTATCAGCTCTGCTCCTGCCCAGAAAAAGATGATGGTGCTGAACATCCATGTGGAGTTCAATGTCTTGGCCCCTTAGCCATATATATATATATATATATATATATACACTACTCAGTGACCAAGGGAAAAGAGCACTGAGGTAAAGACCAGTTTGAAACCAAACACAATTCACTTCATTAGGAAGAAGCCAGGACCGAGCCCCAACCGCGGGCACAAGCGACACCGTGTGGCCGGCTGGGAAAAACCCAGGAGGCGACTAAATCCGAAACAGCCCAAAACAAAGTAACAAGATCCACTACTTCAGTGGGAATGGTATTTCACTTAGCTTCTGTTTCCCGGGAAGTTAGTTACAAAGTTAAATACATTTTGTTTTGCTTGCCTTTTTTTTTTTAAATTAATTTTAATATAAAGGAAAACGTAACACTAAAAGCCAACAACTACATACTGCTCATTATCACAGCTGACTGCAGTTGCACCGTTACAGTAAATTTACTGGAGTAACTGGCCAAGATAAAACAATCTTTCTCGCTAATTTGGTGCTATCTGAACATCAGCTACTTTGTGCATGGATATGGATCCTGCTTTTTCCAGTATGACATTAACTGTAGCCTCGATATTCTGAGGTTGTCTCTCAGCACATCAGGGACACATGAACAGCAAGGGTCATACAGCTCACTAGATGCCTGCTTTCCTAAATACGTGACTCTTAAAATAATGAATTATGGTGAATGATTAACTATTAAACAGCTACATATACAAAACCAAGACACATTTACCCAGATAGACGTAAAGAGTTGCAAGCTCCACTCTCAACGCCTGCTAACTGCAGCAGCCTCATTCTGATGGGCTTTGTTGTTAGATGGATTCTTCTGGGCATATAGTTAATGTAATGTGGATAAATACCTTCTAGAGCAGAATAACCCTTCTGTGGTTTGCTCAGAGGCTGCACAGATTAACACAGGGCCAATTGCACAGTATGTCTGGTCACATCACTAGAGATTTGCAGTCTGATGCCTGCTAACCCCCCCTGCTGTGCATGTAACCACTTGGCATCAAACCTATCCCCCACAAGTTTTTCTCTGATACTCACTGACTACGCCACAAAGATGGGGCTCAATGTCAGAGTTCTCAACTGTAAGTGCAACAGGCAGAGAACTCTTCCATGGCGAAAAGGGCATGTGACAGACTACAAATATTCAGAACTAAGTAAGGAAAGAGAACATCCTGACAACAGTCAGGGGGCTGAATAAAATCATAGAGAAAGAGGAAAAAAATGTGTAAATGTCAGGAAAAGAAAACTTCCTCAATGTCATTTCTGTGCAGCTGCTAGTTGGGTAACAGGACCAACACTCATGAGGGACAGAGAAATGCTGACGAAAAGCAATGGAAAATGAATTACACAGCCAATACTGCATTGGAACATAGATGATACTGACCCTGTCATAAGTGTGAACCATATTTTGCACTTCTAGTTTTAATAACTCCATGCTCCCAAGATAAGAAAAAAAATACAAGAAATGCTGGTATAGAAGAGTGACAGGTATAGCAATACTCTTAAAAAAAAGACACTGTATGTTGTTGCTGTATAACACAGTTCTGGATGTGCTGCATCCTTCTCCCTGGTTAAAATTTCCATGCAAGGACTATTGTCCGAATATGTATTTAGAAAAGCATCAGATCAACTCCAGAAAGCTTCCAAACATATCAGATATGCACATTACAATCAATGGTTTAGGTGTTCATTTCTGGTCAACGACTCACAGATGTTACGTGTGCGAGCTGGTCAGACTTGGTCTGTCCTGCACAAGGAATCCTACAGCCACCTGCGCACATGCACATGGTGTCTCGTGAGGACTAAGGAATCAAACTCCTTCAAGTTTGACCAACAAGACTGATGATCCAAAATAACTTTTCTTCTTTATCTTGTTACAGCCTTGAGACAAGACTTCACAGCATCTGTTTTTCCTCTTCTTTGCATAGCTAAGCTGTAATTTCCTTAATATAAGTTGATGGAGCCAGCTATCACATTACCAAAATGCCCACAAGACTGACATCCTAGCCCTGCTGCCAGACATGCCTCACATTGGATGCATTCTTTTGCAAAATTGCTTCCCCAACTTGTTTACCCCAGATGACCTGCTACTGCTGTATGGTGTAAAGAGGAGGAGGCATGGAAAGGAATGGTCCAGTTGCCTGTTAGAATTCATTTCATCTAATTTTCTGTCATTAATCTAAAAGTACAATTCAGACCCCAATTCTGATGATCATTTCCTTTAACTTCTCACTTGCTGAAATGTGGAGTAAGAAATGTGTAAGACATGATTTTGGTACTGATAACTAGCATGGGCATACAGTCCTCAGATCAGTATTTAGTAAAAAAATTACCCCATTATTCCACCCGGAAGATTTCTGTGGACTTACAGGTATAACTGGGAGCAACAACAAAAAAATGCCTATTCCCTATTAATCTTCGAAACAAAGTGTTCGTTATGCATACCATGATAAACAAGAAATGGCTCTGCCAATATTCAAAATACAGAGTTTGTATCAAGGAGTAATTAGCACAAAACAATCTGCCTTATGGTACGACCCTGTATACTGAAAATAGATAGCATATCATAAATAGTCACTTTTATGTGTTAATGAGGGGCAGGTTTTGGAAGTAAGGAACCTCCAAAGATATAACAGAGTTTCATTATACAAGCAGTGCTTCTTCATTCACTAATAAGAAACTATAAATAGATTACTATCGGAGTCTGAAGACACTGAACGCTTACAAGCCATAGCAAAACAAACTGACAAATAGGTGCAATTATGACAGAGAAATGATGGATAAAGTCAGCTAGAGAGCTATGTGGAGGAGGCTGCAGCAGAACCACCTTCCTTTGCCAGATTCCTACTCAACGGTGGCCACAGTACTCACGGGAGTAGCCAGCAGTTGAGCCCTCCTGCCCCCTCGGGAAGTTTTCTCTGTCAGTTCCGGCAGTAAGAGACAGGGATCGTGTGTCTGAATCCGGGGAATTAGTTCTGGTGTCCGTATCCCCTTTCAGAATAAGCCAACTGGTCTTTAGCTGGAGAGAGTAAAAGCCTGTTACAAGACTCAGGATTTAACATCTGAATGCAGTTCTCCTGCTTCACCTGTCCAGGAAGTCTTGTGAACTGGTTCTAAGTTTATGCTCACTGAAATTTGTAGCATCCTTTATTAAATTATAAACACTGGTTATATCATGACTTAAACACTGCAGGTCCTAAAACCTTCTAACTTTCAGCTGAGCTGAGGATAATTTTTTCTGTTATTTAATTTGCCCAATGGGCTCCACTTTAGAAGATGCACTGTGTCATGTCCTTATAGTTAATGGGCTGTTAATATTTTTCCTGTATATTAATATGCACCCTAAGTAAAAGTCTGCAGGTTTAGATGAATCACCAATATATATATTGAGACTGAGTGAAAAACCATGAGCTTTTTGCTCTTAATATCCCTACTTCTTTCTTTGCCATAGAATGTAGGTTCTAACTCCAGATGAAAGATTAAGCTTTTCTTTTATCTTCTTGGAAAGACCTAAAAGTAGTAATGATTATTTCAGTTATAGGAAAGAATACCCTCATGTACAAAAAAGTTTGTACTGAAAAACCCATAAACCACTCCCTTTTGTTCTTTTTGACCATTACCTTCTTATTGTCCTGATCCAAGCTTCCATCCTCCCCTTCTGATCTTCTTGCTGCTGGAAGATTAAGTTAATTTTAAAAATTAGAACAGATTACATATTTTTTGTCTTCTGTTTTTGATGGTGGTTGTGTTTCAAATAATTTTGAGAGGGAAAAAAACAATTAAAAAACCCCACAACAGAGCTGAGCAGGAAATTCAATGTGTAGAGTTATGTTTCCAAAGAATTACTTAAAATCATTTTGAAATTACTGCAGAAATACTCATCTTTCAGATATACATTGATTTTAGACAATCTATTCCTGCTTGATTTTGAACCTATCTTTTCAGGAAGAAACTATTTAAAGATTGGTGGGAAAAAACATATACCATAACTTAGGGACAGTAGTACGCAGTCATGGCACACAGTGCAGTCATTTCCTCATTCTTCTGTGTTACCTTGACCATGAAAGTACATATGGTTACACAGATATTTTGCAGTCTGCACACCTGGGACTTCTACATTCCCGAAAAGGATAGGTATTTATGGTAAGAAAGATAGGAACAAATTTAGTATTACCTCTTCATAAAATCTGCAACAGAGGCTGTGCAATACTAAGCTTCACAGTTCTTTGACCAATACTTTTCTGACTATATTGCCCTCTTAATCTTTTAACATAAAATAACAGTAATATTTCACTGTTGGTTTATTTTCTTGTACCTTCCTAATTTGCTGAGAAGAAAAATCAAAACTGAAAACCTAAAAGCTATTTCTTAGATAGTTCTCAACCAGTAAATGTGTTTTCTCTTGTCTTTTATATCACAGAATATTTTTCCAGACATTGAGTTATATCTCGGAAACTTACAGAAAGATTTAGTGCAAAATTTCACATAATTTCAGAAAAAATTCCCAAAATGTGAGTCTTACTTGCTTTTGTATCACTCCATGCTGTTTTGGGGAGAGTTTTTATGGTATAAAACTGGAGTAATTTCAAGCCCATGAGAAGTCATAAGAAATGGGGTGTCTGCTTGAATAAAAGTGCAACAAAGAGCTCCACAAAATGCGACGTAGCCAGAAAAAATCTATTATTAATACCAAAATTAGCATGATAATACAAAAGTTAAGACTCAGATTAGATTCTGAGAGGCAGATTCAGGAAAGAGATTAGGCTGCACCATCAGAAGTGCTGCAACACTCCCAGCAAGTTGGGAACAACTCTGCCCTCTCCAGTTGCCCAGCCAGCAGGTTTGCAGAAGGTCTGCCCTGCACCTAAACAACACGGGCAAAGGACCACCACCATCAGCATTTCAGCGTTACTCTGTTTCATTTTCTGGTGCCGCCACACCACACATATCCAGATGGTAACTGGTTTTGTAGAGGAGGTGATATTTAAAAAATTACAAATTGCAGTAAGAAAAAAAAAAAAGGGGTTATAGAGGTGAAAATCCGAAACTGTAGAGCTGGAGGGTTTTTTTCTTCTCAATTTACTGTGGCAAAACAAAGCTGGGTCATAAAATAAAAACAGCACCAAAATCAATGGGGGCCATGAAGGTCTGCCCCTCCCAAATTCCTGAGAGGGCTTTATACATCATTGGCAGATAAATCCAAGTGGCCTGAATTTCATCAGTTGTGAGCATTAGCTTCACCACCACAAAAGATACTCAGTTCTGCTGTGAACCCCAACATGAATGGCATGTTTCACATGCATCAATGCTAATATTGCCAACCTCTATAATTTTTTTTTTAACTTTGAATGATGTCCAAATATTTCTGAAACATGGATGAAACAAAAGAACAATCATACAGCCTCCTGTACTCTTCACTTTCCAGCCCCAGCTCTCAGCCTGATCTCTCCTACGTCCCATTTTTCCACCACCTTTGTCTCATTCTGAAGTTGGGTGTTTATAATAGAAACACAGAAGCTGTAGCTACAGCAAATCTGCTGGGCACTGCTGTAACTGAAACTTTTAAAGCCAAATGTTTTGGAAGAGCTTCTTGCACTTCTTGTTTTAAATAACATTTTTGTGCTTGTTTGTTCAAACTTGGCCTCTTCAACAAAGGAATGTTCTCTGGATCCCTTTCAGCATGTATTAGTTCAGTGTCCCGTTAGCTTGAGTTGCTGAATCATCAGCTGCTCGTGTTCATGCTTTAGCCAGGAGTTCTTCCAGAACAAAAGGTAAATTTTATTTTCTTTTAATGGAAGGGAAATTTCACTGTTTTTTTTGTTTGTTTTTTTGAGTTAGAGTAAATTATGTCTTGCTCTTCAGTAGAAAAATACCATCACAATCTTTTAGAACATCTATAATCTAGAAAAGAAAGTTTAAAATATATATCCTTGTTAAATTTTAGAGATTGCTGACTTGATAATTTAATTCTCCAGTCACTCCAGTAATTACGAGGAACAACTCCATAAAACAGTGCAAAATTGACAAAATACAGACTTTCATTGCATATCTGACAGAAGGAAAGCTGATTATCAAAACGCCCGGCCTGGAAGAAAAAAAGCTGCTGTTTAGTATCCTCTTTGCAAATCAAAAATATCTATAAAATTAAATGGCACAGCCAGGATACAGGACATCAGAGCCACATTATCAGCTTGTGTAAACCAGTGAAGCTGTGCTGATCTAGAGTAGATGATTGTAACTTTGCATTTGCTCATGATCTTTTCTAACACAACTACAATATTTAACTTGTCCTTTGTCAGTAGCTTTTTTTTGCTCATCCTGAGTAGTTGCCTCAAATGATTTGTATACCCAAGGACAAGAAGGAATTAGAAAGCTCGCACAGACCATAAAGTTGGCAGACTATACTAAATCAGGCACCAAACCAAACAGCTATTATCTTTTTGCCTGAAAGGCAACGTTAGTTTGTCCAAGATTAGGATACTGTGAGGAGAAAATGTCTATCGAGGACCAAAACCTAAAGTCCACTGAAACCTCAGCAATGAAACATCAAAACCACACCCAGAAAAAACAGAGGTTATCTCAATTCAGATGATCTGAATGTGCCGTCACTTGAGCACAAAGCACCAGTTACAGCGAAGGTGCACAGGCTGATTCACTTAGTCGAACAGTTTCTTTCTCCTATTACTGTATAAGATCCAAACTGAACTTCACTCAAAATAGAAATAACTATAATTTTCCAGGGAAGCTAGTAAAAAAAATATAACTACACAAAAGCATCATTTTTTATACCAATTGAGTATTTTAAAAGTGACTAATGCAGCCTGTTACTACAAAAGAAAAATATCTAAAATATATTTCCCTTGCTCTAATGATGAAGGCAGCAGGGAAAGCTACCAGCTACAGTCAAAGTAAGGGAGGACAGGTGTAGGTTTCTCACTCTGAGGTACAACATGGAAAGTCAGCTCTGTGCAGCAGAATTCCCACATACCTGTTTCCAAAGATTAATAGCGGAATTCAGTTTAGAAAAATGAATTTCGTCTTACTAATCCTGTATCATGAACCAAGATCATTGTCAAACATCACTGAGAACACAGTAGGCACTGATACCAACATGGAAATTGCGCTGATGTAATTAGTGAAATATGCAACAAAAATAATAACAGAAGAACACAGATTTTATATTTCTATTTTTCTTACTTACTAGGGTCTTAAGTCAGATTCTCAGTCGCAAAAAAAGTCATGTATTTCTTTATTCTGTTTAGAAACTTACCAATCTTGTCACTGGGTCTGCCAAAGATTTTGCAGTCAGCTACTGATGCTATCAGCTACTGAATTTGTTTTTGCCATGGTGTGACTACATTTGTTATTGATGTTTTACAGCTTAAAGAACTTGCAGATGAAAAGTAGGAATTTCATATACACCATTTATGAATGAACATTCTTTTCCCCAGCAACGCAGAAGTCAGAATTATTTACAAAAGCTAGATATCCCAAGGCATGGTCTGAAAACATGAGAAGAACCTTAAACATTTACCTGTTTTATATCATTCCACAAGAAAGAAAACTGCTTTGAATTACCAAGACAAATAAAAATTATCCCAGCTTTAGAGAACTTACTGAATCCTTGGACAGCATGTTATACAAAATGACATTTAATTTTCATGCTATTTTTTTTTCCCTTCTCCATTTGAGATTACAGGGACATAATGAAAAGCAAAGACTACAGCAAACCAATTTGGAAGTCAATATGCATTTACAAAGCCACGGAGAGAAAACTGCGACAGAGAAAAGCAGACTGTACCATGCTGTTTGTAGATAGGAGGTTTCCTATAGATGTTATCTTTTACGCCAGTGTCTGAGGAAGAGGAAAGAGAAAGGAAAGAATAAAACAGTAAGCAAGCAGTTTAGACCACGCTGCTCTTTTCTCCTCTCAACAATAAAAAAAATGCAAACACTTCAGCAAAAGCTACGCATTCACTCGGTGGTTTGTTATTCACTGGTTATTACAACAGAATAATGCTTTATCCAGTATCTTTATGTATTTAAAATGTTGCCCATACCTTTCTATGCAGCATAATCCCCCCTAAATTCCTCAGAATGCTTTAAGGCACCCTGAATGGCATCCATTTGCTGAAATGCAGGTGGTTACATCTGCACCACCAATATATACTTCACAGACAACAAAGAGAAATTGGCTACACTTGTCACTACTCAAAATAAAAGTTCATGTACAGGTGCTTGAAAAAGGACTTTCTCCATTAGCTACGAAGAAAGTGTACATGTTTGTACTAGAATTGCCCAATATTCTCATAGGAAATCCTATAGTTTGTTTAAATATTGAATTGTACAGCTACCTTGGCCTTCCAGGAATTTTTTGAAAGCCCCCAGAGCCACAGTCCAGGGTTCCCATATCATGTTGTACAGACATGAGATTTACTGAGTACTACAGACGTGAGCAGATACAATGCCTAATAACAGTATGTTTACAGAAATGCTAACCTCAGGACCTAAACATAAACAAACTGTTCCAATGAGCAGGTAGATGTGCTTAGCAGTCAAAAAGCTAAACACTGTACACATAAATTTAATGTGCTTATTGACTGAATGTGAACTTGAAAACAGTACAGTACATATGCAAAGACACAGTGAGCTTCCCAGAGTTCTAGTCTTCCAGCTATTTTTGAAGTCTATGTTAATATGACTCATCAAGTTGGAGAGTAGATGGATAATGAAAAATACAAATCCAAAACTCTCTTCAGCCTTCCCTTCTGCATACAGATTGCACAAATCTATACAGCCATGGCACTATGAATAATTGTATCTTTGTAGGCTTAATAACATTTGCCACTGCGTGCTGCCTCTAACACTGCTTTACATATATATATATACACATATAAGCACACAGCTATCTAACTCCTCTATTTCTGAGATGAAGATTAACAGCTAACAGATTTTCACTCATTAAAAAAAAAAAACAAACCACATCCAGAAGAGAATAATCAGGTGCCAGCAATTGAAAATCAAAAGCTAAGCAGTGAATGCCTACCTGGAATATGGAAATGCCTAGGAGCCTGCTGATAGACAGAAGGTGAAGATTTGCTGTCTGAGTACATGGATAGGCTCGGAGTGCTCCGACCACTTTCACTGCCTCCAAGGGGAAGAGCAAAGAAAGCAGATAAAAGAAAAAATGGAAAGCAAAGTAGAGTATTTCAAGCATAAAAGCTTGTTCAGAATGACTTGTTAATCCAACAGTTTTCAATACATGTTTTTGTAAAACCCATTATTTTTTAGCACAGTATATTGGCTCAGTCTCCAAACATCAGTAATGAACATCTGATAGATAATACCAGATTAAACTGCCCCAATTTGAAACTAAAGCTTTTCTTTTTGCAACACTTTTAATGAAGAAAATGAAAGGATAAGAACATCCATAATCCTGCAGTGTGTTTTGCACAGCCTTAACTGAATAATCTATTCATCAAGTTTTTTAAAACTTTAATGCTATGGCTCTTGGCCTGCCCATGAAATCAGTAGTGAAATCATTCAATGGTGTTTAAACTATCTCAAAGCGGGACTAGACCAAAACAGATGTTGCAGTTAAGTCAAATATTCCTGCATGTATCAGTGACAAAACCAGATACTGAAATTTGGTTCTTAACTGCAAACTGTTCCCACAGGTAACGTGCCACAGCATTTTTTAGTTATGCAAACAAGGTTGGATTATCAAGTCATGGATCTATAATGCCATAGTCACTTCATCAAATTTTGAGATATACATAGGATTGATTCATATTCATTTTTCCACTTGTTTTGTCAAATACTTATTAAGTGCCATCCACTTCCTCCTAATTCATTTCCCTGAAGCACACTCTATGGCATTATAGTGCTGCTTGGCAAACAAAAAAGTAAAGCTGTACTTTTTTGGGACTTGTAAAATCCTATTAATTTACAGCACTCTTAAGCAACTGGAAGCCAGACATGACATTTATTCTAACATAAAATGGTTGTTAATTTGCTGTTACTGTTTTAGTGTGGATGGAGCACAAATTTAATGGCAAATTACAGCACAGTTTTTAGGGGTAAAGAAAGCGCAGCAGCTCAAAGCACTGGATCTGTAACTGAGCTCTGCTTTCAAGGAGAAGGTTTACAACCATAAAACTACCAGATTACCATAACTGTCTAGGCCATGCCCATGGAGGTGGTCTCTGCCACCAAAGCCAGCCTTGACATGCACCACTGAAGCCAACTGGGAAGTGCCACTGAGTTCAACAGGAGCAGAAACAGGCCAGACAGGGTCAGAAGAGCGTGCTTTGTATCTCACGGCAATACACTAACTAATCCATTCCAAATTCTGGGTCTGGTATTTTCACAGTTGGTGAAAAATGAAAACTCAAAAACTATTCAGTGGCTACCACTGCATACTCAGTAACAGTGATTTCTCATTGAAAGAAACGTAATCCGAGCAGCTGAGAAACTGGAATCACACCTGCAGGCTGATAGCCTATGGTCCTTCCAAAAAGTAAGGGAAGAATCATGGAATTACTGAAGACCTAGTGCATCACTACCAACTGGCAGTCAAGTTGTCCTCACCCAGGGCAACACACTGTTAGTCAGTCTCTAGATTCCCACTTTGCTTTTGGAAGAAAAGAAGTGGTGACAGGTTTTCACTGCAGATTCATTAATTTCCTCTTTCGCTGCTGCTTGCTGCCCAGATGCTTGGCCATGGAAGAAGCCTCAATGCCACTCCCAGTTCGAATGCAAAGAGCAGTGGTAGACACTTATTTAAGTAAGGTCCCTTACAACTCCAAAAACGTTAAAAAACTTCTAATGTCATTCATTCGAATATAATGTTACTATTGGAATTTTATAATTTAAAAAGGAAAGTTTTCAAGTGATTTCCACAGTGTATTAGTTCTTCATTTATTTTAAAAATATGTATTATTTATATCTTATGAATATAAAAAATATATTCATATATGACCTGCATGAGTCACTTCACTGAGCCGTGACTCCAAGGAGCTGGTAAACGTACACAAATAGAGAGTTGGTCACCAGGGTAGAGTGTCAGTGAGGAAGCAGGAGGAAGTATCGATTAAGAGGAATGAACTTGTAAGAAAAGAGGATGCAAGCACAAGTTCAAGGGGATAGCAAATCTGCAAACTACTCAGTGCAAGGATCATCTGTGTGGAGCAGTTTGCAAATCCATCACTTCCAATTCGTTCAAAAGGGAAGAATTAGGGGGTAAATGAGAGAAAAGGTTTTTCTTGCAGCCCATTCACACAAGCTGATGCACACTTAAATTTTAATTCCGCTACTGATTTGCACCCACAGAAGCAGTTATATTTCACATTTTGCATTAAAAAAAAAAAGTATTTATTAATAAAGCAAACTGAAGACCCATGTAGAAAATTCACGTGTAGGAACTACAGATAGTCATTTAATCTAGCCTATAATTAAAATCTCTGAAATGATACTTTGCCAAGAATTTGTCTCTTTCAAGGTATATATACACTGAAGAAGAACTTCAAACAAGGTCTCAGAAAAAATACAACTACCAGAGACTGATTTTTTCAAGCTTTTGGTTTGAACTCTACCACAAGCAGTTACAGGCTGTGATCTGCTCTGCTGGTCAGTGCAGAGCAAAAAAGCAGAATCATGAACTCATCCCTAGATTTTGTTTAACTTGGAAAGAATCTGGGAAGGTTTCTTTTGAACTTGAGTGTCAACCACAAAAACTTCCTTGTGTCTTTTGGCTGATGACAGGGTAGGCTCCTCTTTTAACCCTGTGTGTGAGGAGCCAAGTGACCAGAGCTCAGATCATGCTCCCTTTTTAAGGGATTGTCAGGAAATATACAATACTGCTTATACCTTCTTCCTAATCCGCTTTTACCTTATCTGGGAGGATGAAAAATTTGATAACAAATTACACTAAGAGCTGTCTAAGTTCAGGATAGAACAACAAACAGATACCACTGGCCTAATGAGGGAGATGTCAGAGCCTACTCCTGAAACTGGATCCTTTAATATCTCTGCATGTGGTGCATTAGGCTAGAAAAAGTTCTTTGAAGTTCAATGACTAATTCGTTTCAAGCTTTGAAAGCCAAATTAACGGGCTTTGGAAGTTGTGCTCCTGCACTAGAAAGGCAAAGTACTTTCCACCATGTTTTAAGTGAGCATTTTTTCAGGAGGGCTCAGCAGTCTGCATGCTCACGGACTCCATCCTCTCAAGAGGAAAAGTTACACCAAGCACAGGTTCTTGGAAAATCACACCCTACAATTTGCAAGAGTGTGAATCATGAAGCTTTCTTGAAGTGAGGCCATCACAGGATTTATTTTGAAGACATTTAGAAGAAAAAAATCCCTAAAAGATCAAAACCAAATAATCTGTCTGCACGATAAAGAACAGCTCATCCTATTATCTTTCATTGGAGCTAGACCACAGTATACTGGAGAAAGAACAGTAATCATATTTTTTGCTGGAAAAATTACAAATCCTGTCATTCTCAGGAAGAATATGACAATCTCAGTGAAGTCAAAAGGAAGATTCTGACTGTTTTAATTTCCCTAGGGTAGTAATATTACTGTTACTTTTTTTTTATGTGGAGTACTGGTTTTATAAAGATTGCTTCTAGAATTATTAAGCAGTGTATTATTTTTTAATTTAATCAAAATTTTTTTAAACAAGCAGATTTCACTTTTTAAAAGTGAAGTGGCAACATTAACCTTGGTCTGGATACAAAGTAACTATTGATACACTCCTACTCTTCCCACATAAACTGCTTTGAAGTGAATAAAATAGCACAGTGACATCCTCAAAAGGCTTCTCCAGGTAAGGAAAAAGAAATAGTCTGCAATTCAGAGAAAAGGATTCAGAGACCTTGAAGAGGATGGAAGAAATCTTCTGACTACTTTCAGATTGAGATGTCAACGCACTGTAAAACCGCAGATAATGTATACAGCCTCTGCAGGGCTCAGGATGATCTACACAGCAAAATTATAAAGAGACTCTCCTGCCTCACAGGAGCATGGTGAGGCATAGTCAGCTACTGCCTGCAAAATATTATAGCTCCTTGATAAAAAGCACAGCAGAATTGCAAAATATTGTAATTTTGATCACATTACTAATAATTGTTTGGGCACGAGGAACTGCCACTTGAGGATTTCTTCATCCAAACAGCAGAACTAAGTAATCGTTGCTGCTCGGAGCAACAGCAGGTAGCACCAAACAGAAACTCACTGCAACAGGAGTGCTGCTAAGCAACTGCAGGCGGGCTTTCGAGTAAGAGCTTTCCATACAGTGAAATCGTGCACTGCGCCACATGAAGGAGGTTTTCCTTACTCAGAACACCATGTTGGACAATATCATCCAAACTGAGAGAACAGATCAAAAACCTTTTCAAGCAGGGCTTCACAGAATACAAGGGGGTGTGCTAGCCTTCCAAAAAATGTGTGTGTGGGGGGGTGACTGCTTGTGGTTGTGGGAAGGAGCTTTGCAGGTAACCTTTAAAATGGCAACAGTTCACTCTCACCAGCCTTTTCCTCCAAAACTTTGTCTCAGGGATCATATTTGGAAGACTCAAGGCCATTTCTGTTCCTGTTTATACCAGGGAAATTCATCTGACTTTGGGCAGAACTGTTTCTGGATGCATTAGGGTCCAATGAAGACGCATTAGTTATTTTTCCAAAGGTAATGAGTGTTTGCTATTCACATGAATTTGCAAGTCTGGTTCCTGCAGAGGGTCACTTCCTTTTCTGTAATGGTTATGACGACAAGAACAATACTTTTGCTCTATGCAAGCAAGCAGTACCTGAGAGTCAAGGAACAGGCACTGAAAATGTTTGCCTTCATGTCCCCTCCCTGTCCATACTGTTAGTAGAGAGGACGGTCTCAAGAGAAGACACAAGTGGTAGCTGAATGTCTTCTCTTTCTCACATTGAACTAACTAGCTAAAAAAACAGTCTTCGCCTTAAGGCTTCCGGACATTCCTCTGTATTGTCTCACAGCTGCAACATGGATGTCATTAAAAGTTAATATCCACTGCAAAAAGTAGATTAAGGCAAGGAAAATAAATTCAGTTACTCTGTTTTATAATACAGCAGATTATTTGCTAATCAGTGTAATTATATTGATTTAACCAGCTTACCTGGCATAATTTTTGGTACTGCTACAAATAATACGAAGAATATCTAAGTGTACATTAGAAGGTTCAGTAACTGATCATCCAATGTTGGATCCACTGTATAAGCTTGTTATAGTATTTATTTAGCATCACCAAAGCAGTATAAACACTATCTTAGTGCAGACTTTTAAATCATTCCCTTCCTCATTTTCATTTTAAAAGCTAATTCCTTCCCTCCACCCCTCTGAGAGACACTTAACACTCACTGAAAAAAAGCAAAAATAAAACAACCCATACTCACTTGGTTCTTAAAACTTACACAGTACATCGAGAAAGCACTTGCACAAAATTAAGACAAATTCTATCCAAGTGGAAGCCATGCTTGCACAGACATAGAAGTGAAACACATCTGAATAGGTCTACAGTACCACAGCACGGTTTTGCATTCCTGGACCTTACCTTTGAAGAAAGGGATGTAATGATGTCTGAATGTAGATGTAGGGCTTGGGTGTTGGGGCAGGGAGATGCAGCTACTGGTACCAAGACTCTTAGTACCAGCTGGGGGCAACAGAGAGTAAGTGAAAATAAACTATTTAGTTCACTTACTGAAAGCCACAAATTACAATGCCATCCTTTTTTTTCAGGAACATTTTCCTCCTGATGCTTACAAAACATACAGTTTAATACTTCATCTTTCTCTGGTTATTGCTAAGAACACCACAGTGGCCATATTCGGCAGTTGGCCATGGGACACGCACCTTCTGCAGACAGAAAGAGCATCATATAAAAAGGGCTGTCAATGTAACGCATCAGAAAATATTCCAGAAAAGGCACCACAAAATCATAGCTGCACTCAGGGGAAGATCTGCATATTCAAAAGCTGCAAGAGGGAATGATATATGCTCATAATGGATTTAATGAAATGAAATGGGGAGAGCCTTGTCTTTGCTGAGAACTGTGCTATGAGTGGGTCCGGTTCTTGCTGCTGTCGGTGCACACTGGTAGGAATTACTTCACAACGCACCAGGGCACTCGAGTACATAGCTAATTTAAGCATTTGAAGAATTATCCTGAAGTTATTGAAGATCTGAAAGTTACACATGTGATTAAGTACTTGGAAAAACATTCTCAGAAGTCATTTTTGTTTGCTTTGTTGTAATTATGTCCTGATACCATATTTTGGAGGACTAATGGAAATTATCAAAAGTGGTAATTATGACGACTATCTTCTAAATTTTCAGTGAAGTTGTAACATACTAGAAGTAATCCCGAATTTCTTTTGTCTTTCCTCTTTGCTGTAACAGTGTGCAGCTAAGCTTAAGCATGACATAGCTGCCAGACCTTCAGTGGGGATTAAGCTTTTCTTTTTTTAATAGATCTTTGATATTCTCATTTCCACTTTGTCAAAGACCTTATGTAGCACAAATATTCAATTCTTGTAAAAACTCGTTCTGTTACCCATAAAATTTTCACTGCAAAGTTTAAGAACTCCCAGTTTTCCACACTAGTTTATAATTATAATGTAGTCCCAATGAAATTAAAAGACACCAAGAAATTAA